TTAATGCGATTAAACGTTTAAAAGGTTAAGAAAATTTTAGACAACGCTAGTTCATTTATAAAGCATATACAATTCATAAAATTTATCAAGTTTAGAGGTAAGAAATTAATAATTATCGCTGTTGAAACGTGAGATGGTTGAGGTAAAGATTTATTTTATTATTTTAACTTTTTTTTACTGTTGTTAGATTAGAAACAGATTATAGTAAATCATACTTAAAAAATCTTAGATTTTTAGCTTCATAGATGATTTATTAGTAATCATTAATTAATAATATATAATAAATCCCGTCGTTTAACGATGAGCCCAGTATCCAGTAAAATTTTTACAAAATAATAGAAGCGCTAATTTTGTCTAATCTAAAATTCAAAAAAAAATGCTGAAGAAATCAGTAATCAGAAATCAGTGATTACTTTTTTTTAATGATCTTCAAATTTCACATAATTTTACAAGCCGCAATAAAGTGATTCAATGGAGTTCTTCTGCTGATGGTCGTTTGTCAGGTTCATTATCCCAACATTGCTTCATTAGAATTACATAACAATGCGGAGATTTATTGTTAATGGGTGGTCGTAAATAATTGTAACATATTTCTAATTGAAGCAGTTGCTTACTAAATTTATGATTATAAGATACAGGCATCCCATATAAGATTTCCCACATTATTATTCCAAATGAATAAACATCTGACTTTATAGTATATGGTTTACCCATTAGAATTTCTGGCGCAATATATGGTAGAATTCCAAAAATCCCATCCTTCTTTTGTTCAGAAACAGAACTTGATAGTCTCAGATCAGAAATATATGCACTATGTAAGTCATCTTGTAAAATGTTCCACTGTGCAAATCTCGATGAATATACCCTTGAGAATGAATTGCTTCAAGATTAGAAATAATGTTATTTAATAGCCATAATTTATGTTCCCATTTCATTTGAGATACATCTTGAAGATTATTTCTTAAAGAACCTTTTGATGCATATTTTAAAACAAGGATAATATATTCTTTAGAATTCAGTTGTTGTGTTATCCCATAACATTTTAGAAATGAAGGATTTTCGTATCCGATTTTACTATATGCTTTGAGCTAATTAAATCAATTAGTCATGTAATTGAATAATTAGTGAATAATTGGAATAATAATAATTAATTACCTCATTTATAAATTCTTCGTAATTTGTTTTATGTAGTGATTTAAGGGCAACTTTCAAATTTACATGGCCGCGAGACCAGTCAGCACTATATACTGTTGAAAATCCACCCTTGCCAATTTCTTTAATATTCTTGAATTCATTGAATGGAATTAATAATAGTTTATGATTTCTTTCATCATTTAATATCATTTTTAAATCATTTTCGAAATTGTCTAACGGAAACTTGTTTCGTTCCCTGTTCATATAGATTATTAACTTGCATCAAATACTAACATAATAATTTATTTAATCATTACTTACATTCGATACCAATAATCAGCTAATTCTAAAGCTTCGGTTACTCCAATTCCAAATAGATAACTTAAATATACATAATGTATTCCAGTGGCATTACCCATCTTTGCGGATTTCATATACCAGTTAAACGCTTGATTCGTATCTTTTTTTACTCCAATTCCGTTTTGATAACAATGAGCAACTTCATTTATTCCAGAAGCATTACCCATATCAGCAGATTTTTGATAATTAATGAATGCCTTATTTTCATCCTTTTTAACTGTTATTCCATATTGATAACAACGCCCAAGATTATATATTCCGTCAGCATGTTTCATATCTGCAGATTTTTGATAATATATGAATGCCTTCTTTATGAATTTTTTAACTCCTATTCCATTTTCATGACAACGTCCAACATTATATATTCCGTCAGCATGTCTCATATCTGCAGATTTTTGATAATATTCAAATGCCTTCTTTATGTCTTTTTTAACTCCTATTCAATTTCATAACAACGTCCAAGATAATATATTCTATCAACATGTCCTATATCTGCTGATTTTTGATAATATTCGAATGCTTTCTTTATGTCTTTTTCAACTCCTATGCCATTTTCATAACAACGTGCAAGATTATATATTCCATCAGCATATCCTATATTTGCAGATTTTTGATAATATTCGAATGCCTTCTTTATGTCTTTTTTAACGCCTGTTCCATTTTCATAACAACGTCCAAGATTATATATTCCATCAGCATGTCCCATATCTGCTGATTATTCATAATATTCGAATGCCTTCTTTATGGCTTTTTTAACGCCTATTCCATTTTCATAACAACGTCTAACATTATATATTCCATCAACATGTCCTATATCTGCAGATTTTTGATAATATTCGAATGCCTTCTTTATGTCTATTTTAACTCCTATTCCATTTTCATAACAACGTCCAACATCATATATTCCGTCAACATCCCCCATAGATGCACATTTTTCATAATAAATGAATGCCATATGTTCATCCTTTTCAATTCCAATTCCATGTTCATAACAATATCCTACATTGAAAGTTGCAATTACAAAAGCCTTATGCTCATCTTTCTCTACTCCAATGCCATTTTGATATTTACATCCAAGTTCACGGAGATCTGTGCCTGTCAGGCTCATGTTCAATGATATATTGTATCAAATAAATTTTTTCAATGACATAATATCAAACAAATGTTTTCAATTATATATAGTAAGCTTATATAACCTTTCAATGTTATTTATAGCATTCATTTACGACTATCTTTTGCGTACATCAGTATCTGTTCAGAGTCATTTCACGATTTAGGTCGATTCCGAATTGACCTATACATGGGTGTCTAAATTACTCTTAATAAAAATTGATTCGACATTTAGTCTGTCGAAATTAATATAGTTGCCGAAATTTTTAGTGAAATTATTTGAATTCTTTATGTCAAAATACATTAGATAGTATGGTTACTTATGGAATTAAATTAAAAAAAATTAGCAACGTCGAAATGTTGTCGAAATTGCTTTTTTTAAAAAATAATTTAGACACCATGTATACCTAAGTCATTTCTCAATCGGTGAAATTTTAAAAATTTATAATTATAAGCCCAAGCGATAAATTATATAACCCAAGCAATAATGTTAATTAAATTATTAAAGTTATTTTGCATGAAAAAAGTAAACTTTTACATAATGAAATCAGAAACTTATAAAAATCCTTTATAATAAAATTTTGCTATATTAGAAAAAATGCTTTAATGTTTCAAATAAAAAAAAAATCGTATAAATAAAAAATGCGCAATACAAATAAATAAAAAAAATCACAATAAAAAAATGCACGTTAATTTATAAAAAAGTTTTCGACAGGACAAACTTGCGTCCCCACCAACGTAAATAATTTTAAAATTATGTTACCAATATTTAAATTTTTGGTTATAAAAGTCGTTGGGATTTTTAATTACAGTTAAACAATAATTATTTTATTTTTGTCCATTAAACAGTGATTATTTTTCCTTTGATGAATAAAAGCTTTTAATATTCGATCAACTTTCCATTTTAAAAATTAATAAGAAAAAAAAAGTTGTATCTATCGTAAAGTTAAACATTCGAAAATTTTATTTATTTTTTAATTAATTTGACATACATAATAATTATGAATTCTAAATTTTTAGGATCAAGTGATGACCCCTTCCTGTAATAAAGTAGTTGATACATATTTGTCACTCAACAATTAGTCACACCCTGAACCTTAAATTTCATTAAAAATTGACCAGGGTTATTTCTGAATCGGTGAAAATTTATGAATAACCTAAATCAATTCGGAATCGACCTAAATCGTGTGAAAATGACACAGAACAAATATATACTCTTAGTAAAATTTTCGGCCCAACCCGAAATCTGATTGACATAACCTGATCTTTTTTTATTAATTAATTAAATTAAAATCTTATAAATACAATTAAATATTAGTAAAGAATTTACAGACCAACCCGAAACTCGACTGGACAACCTGATAATCATGAGCAAGAGCAAGAATCGCTAAGAAAGTGGGCACCTGACAAATTAATAACTTTTTATTTTTTATTTATTAATTTTAAAATAAAAATAAATTAATTAAAACGTGTCGTCTAAAAAAAGTAAAGACGAAACTCGAATTCGACAAAAATTTTTGGGGAGTTCGATAACTCTCCCGTTTTAGCTTAAAAGGAAATATGGCGGGTCACGAGTTTATATGCGACCAATAACAAAAGAACTACTTATTTCTTCGCAAACTTTTAAAGAAATGATCCTTACGCCGATGATGAAAGATTGGAAGGGTTAAAATATAAGTGATATGTGTCAGGTTTGTGACATAGCGGAATTGTTTAAAACTCATCTATATTAGGTTAAAGTTCGTAGTTAATATCGTAAAATCGTACAATAAAAACTTTTTGCTAGAGCACCAAATGTGGTTTCTTATGCATGTTTTGAGTAATAATCGATTTATAGTAAGCAAACGTTTGTTTCGATGGTTTAATCTTGAGACTTGATTCGTAATTCAAGAAAATTGTACCACAGATCAATTTAACTATGATGTATACTTTTTATAAAAATTACAAAATACCTAAAATTTACGATAATTGAAACTTTTGCTTCTAATGTTTTTGAAATTAAGTTTCAATGATGCAAGGTATCATTATCAGACAAGAAGGACGTTAAAGTGACTCGAATTACAACTAGCATGAAATACTACCAATTATAAAGATAATAGTTTGCTCGGATATAAATATTCTTTTAGAGTCTAACTATCATTACGTAAATTATGTAAGGCTTATAATTGGTGCTGAACAGAACCTTCCTTTATTTAAATGAAGTCATTTGATTGAGCAGTAATAATTAGCAATCTGTACATATATTTTTTTACTATATATAAATATAAAGTTTAGTATATATTTAGTAAAACTCGATAGAATCCTCATAAGAATATGTTATCTAATTATGGAATTGAAAGTCAATCTTTTAAAAATTTTTAAGTGCAACCCTATTCAAATATTTTTGGGAAGTTTGCTCAGATCATCTATAATATATTATAAAATATACGTATATAATTTTTTTGATGATCTTTACACGCACGCACATACCAGATTTGCAGAACTGTGAATTAAATTTCATATCGGATGATCCGCACGGTCTAATAAATATAAAAACTAATGAGTTATAATTCCGGTCAAAATTGTCGATCATTTTGGTCAAATTATAAATTATTCGACTGATCTGGTCAAAGGAACAACAATTTGGCCAGAATTATAACTCATTGGTTTAATTGTTATTCATTGTATGGATTATTATGTGCATATTTAACTGATTAATTACCTTTAAATATACAGTTTGAAGTCATATGGAGTGTATACTTTTGGGCAGTGTTGTCATGGGACATGGACGCGGACAGCGAACATGTCCGCCAATATTTTTTGTCCCGGACAATTAAATTATGATAAGAACGGCCAAGTTAGCCAATCAGGTCATATGACATGGAATAACCATCACGAACATGAGACATTGTCCGGGACTGTCCGTGTCCGCGCAGATTTTGACGGGACAATGTCTACTTACAACACTGCCTTTGGGTAGAAGGCTTAAAATATATGGATTGACGCGAAATACAGAAACAAATGAGTGACGAAAAGGAAAACCCTGTAAATCATTTCACTCATTGAGTGAGATGATTTACAGGTTTTCCCTTTTCGTCACTCAAATAAATACATGACCGCATGTTGGTATTTCAACACGCAGATAATGAAAGTCTTCACATGTTTTTAAGAAAAAATTTTCGTAATCCTACTTGGCAAACTTAATTAAAACTACTTCGTGATATTTCTGATGATTTAGCTAACATTCATAGAGCCGGATATATTCATGCAGACTTTTACGGTGGCAACATTTTGCAAGATAAAGGCATTAGCAAAAAGATATAATCTTACATCTCTGACTTAGGATTGTCAAAAAGATATAACGAAAACGATTCAGAATGTGGTATTTATGGTTTTATGCCTTATGTCACTCTTGAGGTTCTTTTATTGGGTTATTGGGTCAAAAATTTACAAAAGCTGCTGATATATATGGCTTTGGCATTATGATGTCAGAGATGTAAACTGGACAATGCCCTTTTGATAATTATGAATTTAATATTGGTCTTGAAATAAAAATTTATGAAAGATTGCAGCCAGAATTTAATCCTGGAGCTCCGAATTACTATATCGAATTTGCTAAAAACGCATGGATTCTGATCCTCAAAAGCGGCCTACTGCTCTTAATGTTTATCATAAGTTCCATTGTAAATGGAATAAAATAATTGGAATATTCAGATGATTCAAATAAAATTCAGAGAAGCAAATAAAATAGCAAAAGAATTTACAGTTTTTTCACCGAAACATCCCTACTTTATGTACACTAGTAAACTTATTAACACTAAAAATATCGGATACATTAAAGATAATATTGTAAAATTACACTATTTTACTTGATTAAAGCTAATTATGCTATCGTAATAGCTTTGCCAAGTCAACATATTGCTTCTGCTAAAATTCCTGTCGATATATAATTCTAAGTATCAATATTTAAATTCAAGATTTGCTTAAATGCAATTATTAAATTATAAATATTTGGATATGTATTTTGACTTGCGTTTATAATAAACAAATTACTAGAATTTCCAACTTATCGTACTATTTATTAATCATCTAACGAATATCTTTACAAAATACACGGCAATTTCAAAAATTATTGAAAAGAATTACTTTAAAATTTGATTAGCTACAAAATTGTTTCATTTCAAACCAATAAATATTTATTAGAAACGATAACATCCGTTTTCTACAATAAATATATTAAGAATTGCTTTTAAAATACTTTTGCCAAAAATCAAATCAAGTAATATGATTACCTTCTTTTCCGCATATTTCGAATACCATTCAAACGCTTTCGTCCTATTTTTAGTAATGCCTAGACCATATTCATAGCAAATTCCGACGGCATTAATTCCTTTAGAAAAATCCAATTCAGCAGACTTCATATACCATTCAAAAGCTCTTTCATAATTTTTGTCTGTACCAGTACCGATCGCATAGCAATTAGCTAATTCATATATAGCATTAGCATTTTCATTGTCAGCAGATGTTAAGTATAAATCAAAAGCCTTATTTTTATCCATATCTACACCAGTACCATTTTTATAGCAATTTGCTAATTCAAATTGAGCCGCAGAATTTCCTCTTTCAGAAGATTTAGCATATAATTCAAAAGCTTTTTTCATATCTATACTTGTACCGATACCATTCATATAACAATTAGCTAATTCATATATTGCATCAATATTTCCATTTTCAGCGGATTTTAAATATAAATCAAAAGCTTTTCCCTTATCAATAGATGTACCAGTACCATTTATATAACATTTTGCAACTTTAATCTGAGCCTCAGAATTTCCATTTTCAGCAGATTTTGAGTACCATTCAAAGGATTTTATTTCATCCTTTTCAATACCATAATCACTAGATAAATAGCATGACCCAACATAATATTGTCCTATAATAGAACCGATTTCAGCAGATTCTAAAAATAATTTAAAAGCAAGGTGTTTATCCATAACAACGCCTTTTCCAGCAGAATATAATAATCCAAGAGAAATTTTTCCAATAATGTAATTGTTGATATTCAAATAACCTATTAAAGAAGAATCATCTAGTTTAGCAGCATTTTCTGAAGATAATTTATACATCCAGAGAGCCTTTTGATAATCAACATCAGTACCGATACCATGTTCATGAAAATAGCCGATCATACTAAAATTATAATCTTGATAAGCAAGTTGATTAAATATTAAAAATGGATCTATTTGATTGGCTTCAAAATAATTAATTAAACTATTAGTTATTTGAGCAGAATTAGTGGTTGCATTAAATTGTGATATAAAGAATTGAAGTAATTTTCCTATAACTAAATGCCAATCGTCAGTTTTATTTGTTGAACCTTGATTATATAGATCCTTGTTTTGTTCTATATGAATATAATCTAACTCTTCGATCATTATTTCATTTATTTTATTTAGACGTGTAACAACTTGTTGAATATTTGGACGTTTATTCGGATAATTATTCCAGCAATCTAATAAACCAAATTTAAATTATTCTAATGAAAATATGAAAATATTATAGGTAATTTAGATTAAGATAAGGAAATACCTTTGTAGGTCGAGGAATATTCTCGAGGGGTTCCAGTAATTTCTGTTTCTCTTTTCCCATGTATAATATCAAGTAAACAATTGTATCCAAATGGCGATTCTGACTCAAATGGAATAGAACCACTAGAGACCTCCCATAAAAGTACACCAACACTGTATATATCAGAGCTTTGATTTAAGCTATAGATTTTTGGATTTTGCAAATATTGAGGATCAAAGTACTGAACAAAAGAAAGTAAATGTTGATATTGATTTTGTTTCATAAAAATTTTGGATGAGAAGCCACATATTTTAATGCTTCCTTTATGAACAAGGACGTTTTCAGAATTCTATGAAAATTTTATCATAAATAATTAAATAAATAAATGAATAAAAATAATAAATATGCGAATGCTTAATTTAATAAGTATTATTTATCACCAAATGCCCATGTATAATATTATTTGAATGCAAATGCTTAATCCCGTTTGCAATCTGTTTGGAAAATAATAATTTATCTCTCCATCTCATCAACTTAAAATTTATTTCCAAATACTGGCGAAGAGTTCCATCGTCGGCATAGTCAAAAATCAACATATATTTGTTTGAATCTTAATTAAAAGTTAATATAGTCGTAATTCAATCAATTAAATAGTGACTACCGTATCAGAATCTTTACGAAATGTATACGTACATACCCGGCTTAGTTAATCCAAAAATTTTTAAAATATTATCATGACATTTAATATTTCGGTATTGGTCAACCTTTTATTAATAATGATATTAGAAAATGTTCAGCTTGATTTTATAATAATTATTATCTCATGATAATATATCTCACCTCTTTAACGAGTTCTTTTAGAGAAACTTGTTGAGGTATAGCAATGGGTTTTAAGGTAACAGTTATATTAGATTTCTTAAACGTTGCTTTATAAGACTGTCCGGACTCTCCAATACTTGTGGGTTCAATATTAATAAAATTAACATAATTATGTATAACATCTTTGGTTCGATAATTTGATACATTTTTGTTTTTAGACAACATGTTTAAATTTAACAAACGGAAGTAGATATTTGTTCTCGGGTATGCAATGGCGTAGCTATTTAAAGGAGTTTCGGTTTCACAAGGTTTACGGAATGATACTCCGAATCTACGTAATTTCCAAAAAAAATAAAATATTCCGATTGGTTTGCTAATTATTCTCGCTCGGATTATTTATTAGAATAAAACGACGAAGAAACATGACAGGAGACAAAAGAGGATCGACTATTGGTGAGTCTCTCTGTCTCTTCTTTTTTTTTTTTTTTAAAAAAATCCCATCCTTACTGACGTACCTTGCAACGCAGTTGAGATGGATCTAAGATAAAGTGTCACTGATTGTGACAACCACCCTCCAATGCTCATAATTTGAGGTAATGTCAACCCAGCTTTCATAGCCTCGGTAGCTCCACCGATACGTATACTATGCCCGGAATACCTACCTTTTAGATTCGCGTGTTGAGCTACCTTTTTTACTACTGAACTCACTGTGCCTGTCGTCATGTGCTTTCCCAACACATTAATAAACAACCAATTATTGTCCTCTATATTATTTCTCATACCCAAATATTCATAAACTAATTTTACTGGGCAATATGGTGAGTCTGTAGGATCTACTGGGATAAATTTCCCTTTTGCAAATTGATCTGTCTTTGATCTATTTATTCTTACCCAACATATGCCATCAAGCATTTTTAAGTCACCTATTTTCATGTTACAGAGTTCAGCTGATCGTCTCATCATACGTAATCCAAGAGCGATCATTGCACAATTCCTTTTCCAGATTAAACGTGAGGTGTTTCGAGGTGGGTTATCAATGTAATATTTTAAGGCACTCACTGGTAAGGGGTCACGTGGCCATGCTGCCTCTTTTTCACTTGTTGCTTGTTTTGTCAGGTTCTGTACTAAGTTCCTAACATTGATGTTCAAGGTTGGGTCCTCGAAACCTAATTTTTGGTGGTGGTGGCTGATGGCTATAAGGTAAAAATGTGGTTTCATTGTTCTTTCCAATAAATCTGTTCAAGTCAAAAAGACTAAAACCATCTTCACTTCTGCTGGACAGAAAACTAAGCTGTGAAACTCACAGAAAAATGTAAATTCCTTCCACAGGTTTTTGAAGCATTTCTCAAAGGCTGAATTAGGTGACAAAATATCATGTGCTTTTAATAATAATGCATCTAAAAAATTATTTTTACTGCTTGGAACTTCCAAAGAAGATTCTTCCATGGTTCTGGGAACATATTTTTCCCTTGACATGGTATGAAGCTTTGCATTGCTGGTGGGAGCTCTATTGAGCTGATTTGATACTTTAAAAGGAGGGGTCACCAAGGTGCTGAGGGCCAAATCGGGGTAATTAATATTACTATTGCATGGGTTTGCAACCCATGCTCTAAAACTCTGTGTACTAAGCCTAAAGGCGGGCAAATGTAGTTGATTTCTCCATTCCAATTTTGCGTGAAGCAATCTACTGCTTCTGACTCTGGGCAGTACCATCGGCTGTTGAAACACTTTACCTTTCTTGTTTGGTAGGTCGCCATTCTGTCTACAGTAAACTGATCCCATTTTTTGTTTATTAGATCGAACAATTCTTGGGTAAGTAAGCAGTCTGATTCGTCGAACATGCGTGTTAGCTCGTCTGCTGGATTCTGCTCTAATGGGATCCATCTGAACTCGTGAATATTGATGTCGTATTTGTCGCAGAAGTTCCAAACTTCTCGCATTATTTCCTTCTGCCACGGTCTTTTTCCCCCTGATTCCACTGTCTTCCTGGCGACTCGATTGTCTATAAAAACTGTGACACACGATTTGTAATTATGTGGACAAATGATTCCAGCTCTAACAGTATTGCTAGAGATTCCAAGTTGGCAATATCCACATGACTGTGGCAGTGCTGCCAGTTTCCAAAAGCCTTTTGACCTCTCAAAGTTGCAGACCAACTGGTTGTAGATGCATCTACAAAGACTGAGATCACTTGCGATGGTTTCCATGCTGAGTTTCCGTTCTTTTTCTTTAAATTCGTTATAACCCAGTTTATGTTGGCTAAAGCCTGTAGTGATAGTTGAACAGTCTTGTCCCATTCCCAGGGTTTTTTTTTTTCTGCATCTATTATTGTATATAATTCCAAGCATCGGGCTTTTGCATACTTGAATGCATGACTTAGACTCATTACTTTTCCTGTGACAGAAGAAAGCTAACAGGCTGTAATAGGCTACTTCTTGTATAATAGGTTTTTTAAACAAATCACTGCATCGTTGATCTTTGTGTCTGGTGCTGTAACCATGCATTTTACTGTATCTAACCATAATCTGTAGTATTTTACTTCTTGTGTAGGATCCAAATGCCCTTTTTCTGCCAACACAAACCCACACTCTCTTAAATCCTTTAATATAATTTCGTCCCTCATCTGTATTAGTGTCTTTTGACATGGATGCGTGATCCAAATATCGTCTACATGGTTGCTGCATAAGATACCTTGTGACCGCCAATGTCCTATTACTGCTCTTATTACCTTTGAGAATATCCACACAGCCTGGCTCAGGCCAAAAGGCAACACGTTGTAATGGTACCAGTTTAACCCTACTCTGAATCCCCAAAGCCTTTGAGCTTCTTTGTTCATTTTTATATGATGGTATCCATCCTTCAGATCCAACACGATTAGCCACCAATTTTTTCTCACCATATGTAAAAAGGTCCCGAACCCCTCGAATTTGAATGGTTTTTCTGGTAACATTTTGTTCAGGTGTCTGAGGTCTATTATTAGTCACCATTTTTTCGGCCCTGCCTTGGGTACTAAAAAGATTGGGCTCACCTCTAATAAATGGATGGGCCTTTTTTCTGAAACTGCTACTAAGGTTATTGCTTTTTCTTCTTGTAACCTTCCTATTTCTAACTTTAGCCAAGATAATTGATCCTCTATTAATGGGTATTGTGGTGGGTCTGGTTGCATTGATAACTCGATCAATCCTTTTGGAAAAAATGAAATTCCTTCCCTCAACTATTTCATTATTAAGTCTGATGCTTGAATTTTTTCTAGCCAATAGTTTATATGCTCTTTTTGATGTATACGCCCTGTTACCTGTATTTTCTGTTGGGCTCAGGCGTAGTTAATCATGCTTTGTAATATCCTGAGGCTTATTGAATTGGTTTTTATAGGCTGTATAGCCTCTTAATTTATATCCAGTTCCATAGTCTTGGCTCATATTTTTGCTTGGATCTGAAGGGCAGGCTTTTGCGAAATGGCCGTAGCCACTACAAATGTAGCACTTTTTCGAGGATGATGGCGCCTGGTTGAAGAATTGTTGGTTGTTTCGAAAAAACCTGTTCGAACCCTGGTAGTTTTCCTGAAAATTACTCTTATAATTAACTGGATAACCAGTTTGATTTCCGCCTAGATAGCTATACCGATAGCTTGTTGGCTTAAATGTACTGTATGGTTTTTGTCTCTTACTCCTCTTTGCATCAGCCAAAGTCTTGGCTTTTTCAATTAGATTATCCTTCCCTTTTAGCCAGTCATCCCGAGTTTCAGGCAAAGCTGCAGCAATATCCCAACCGAAACCTTCGGCTACCCTCAGGGTGAACATTCTATTTTCCACTAACTCTCGTGTAGCTTCAATGTGGCTTGCTGCATTGTCCAAACTCCTGGATTTTGTGGCCAAATCTAGTTCTCTCCCAATTTGGCGTAGAGCATCATACTCATGTTGGTCCCAAGACTTTTCAAATCTATGTTTTGGCTAGGCTTCCTTAATATCAGCTTTATTGTGTGTCTCTTGTACTTGCAGTGCTATTAAATTTAACTTATCATTAAAATCTAACATTGTTTTTTCCAATTTCTGAAAACCAGACAATACTTTCCCTTCTAACGAATCGGAGTCTTTATTGTCCCCAAGTTGTAACTTTCTTTTTCTTGATGTTTTGTTCACATAAGGTAAGCAGTCATTTGTTTTTTCTATATCTTGTATAAGCGATTGTGGCATAGCTCTCAGCGAGTGACTTGTTTCTTGGGATAATTCCCCAAAGTTTTGGTGACCAGGCACTTTTGAGTTGAACATACCATTATTTTCTGTATAATTGTTAGTTACAACTGACTCATTATCGATGCCTATTTGTAATCCATCATTTGGGAATTTCCCTTTTTCAACATTCCTTTCACGGGAACCATTTACTTGGTAATCCTTTAACCTTTGCATGAGGTCCGCTTTGTTTCCCTCAGTTGATATGCCCAAACTATGGCATATATCTGACAAATCATTTTTGGATATGTTTGAATCTGTCATTATATGACTACGATGAACGACTATATGCTATAGAGCCAGATATCAATTGGGCAGCAAAAGAATCAAGCACTACAGATTTATCTAACTTCTACCTGCCCTTTATATGTCATCATTTTCTATTTTTGCTCAATTCATTCACTATTTACTATTACTTCCTATTTTTACTCAATTCATTCACTATTACACAAGATCTGCAATACTGCAGTGGTTCATCTTTATGATAATACTTCTTGCGTGACTATCGTCACGCAATGGGCCATGAGTTAATACTAGAGATAAAGTTTAATAGTATATTATTACTTATTATTTCTGATTATTTCTTTTGCTTTCTTGTAATAAGTAATAATAAATAAAGCAAATCAAAAATGTGTACAAGGTTGGTACTCCAGAACACTATTAAAATTCATTAATAGAGGCACCATTATGTTTGAAATAAATTAAATTAAACGTAAAGCAATTTTGCAAGTACAATGAATGCATTTACTATCTAATCTAATTACAATTCATTAGCTTTGTTTAATATTATTAATATTTTTGGATAAATTATGCAATTATCTTCAAGGCTTTTTTTTGCATGCTTTCATAATTGTTGGATCGAATTTTTTTGGTTAATTTCGCGCTTTCTTCATTGAATTGATCCCAGTTGTACTTTTAATTTGGTACCACTTCACAGAGATTTATCTTGTAAAGTATAATCTATTAATAAAAGTAGGCAACCAAGTTACTTTCTGA